TTGTGTCGTTTTATTTGCCACAGCTACGTTGCTTTCTTTGCAATTGATTGAACGAGTTTTTACTGCTTATATGCAACAGCACAGATATCAAAACATGTTCGCACATCACAGAATGACGCGCCGAGACATCTAATACAATATTTCCATATTTGCGGTAGCAAGTATGGAGTACCAGCTCCTGAAACACCACTCTTGATGAACTGGAATTTGCTCTAGCGGAGAAACTAATGCGAGAAGATTCATCTGGCCAAGTAGCTCTCAAACTTCTATATAGCTTAGTCCCATATTAATCTCCCGCCACGGCTAAGAAACTAGGAGCAAGCGGTTGGTGTAGTACGCCATGAAGTCTGTTCAAGGAAGAGATGTATGATGGATACATATTTTTGTCATTTGCAGTTGTTCGAAGCCAGTCACAGGCGTACATGCCCAAATACACAGTATATCTTCAAAGGGGGTGGCCATATGCAATGGCATAAAGTCGTTTTTCTGATATTCGTCTGCAAAACTGTGCGCTTCATCAGATCAATCAGTAGATATCATTCATAATTTAGAGCGTAAAAATGGAAGAAATTTATGCTTCAAGATGGGGGCTTATAAGCAGGCTACTTCTCCATATATTTAACGCACATGCAGTGCTATATGTGGCTTCATTTTTTTCCTGGAAATATCTTGTTTTATGCACGAATGATGCTCCAGCTCCTTACATGTGACTGAATAAAGATCAACATATGTTCCTGTTCAGAGTATGTCGAATGACGCGTAACGTCTTTGACGGAAGATTTCGATTTTTCCGGTAGTGGGTATTGATTCTAGCTCATGGAACATCGTTTCTAGTCAGCGGAAAGTTGCTCTAGCGTACAAACTAATGGTTGACGCATCAGCCACTGCAGGTGTGAAAATATCGCGCAGATCTATTCTTCTTCATCACTTTGCCATAGGGTAACTAGGAGCAAAAGGACGGCGCAATACATCCTGAAATGTGGTCAGAGAAGAGATACATGAAAATGATATATTTTTGTTATTTGCTATTGTTGCCAAGCGATTCTCCGGAATATATATTAAAATGCAGCACTCGATTCTAACGGGGCTTTCTGTGCAATTGTGTGCAGTCGTTGTGAAGTTGAAATAATTTAGTACTAGGTCAGGCCAATTAATGAAAATTATTCTCGCTTTAAAGGTTTAGCAATGAATGACATTTATGCAGCAGTACCGGGGCATATAAATGTAATTATATGATTATATATGTAATATAGTCATCTTCATCTTGCATGACAGCTTCTCTTTTCAGATCGCGGAGGTGCACGCGTCAGACAGTGTTTCAACGTTACTAATCATGTGCCAGCGTCTGAGCTTCGGCAAAAGAAAATTAGAGTATGGAGCAATTGATTCTATACATTTCCAACAGGATAAACTTGGTCGTCCCCTAAGCCTTCTGCCGATCACCCGGGCAAGAAATAATTGCCTTGCCTTCTCTTCTAG